AAGCCCCGGCTTGCGACACCCGCGCGTGACCCGGCCCGGCCCGGCCGGCGCGGGGCTTAGCGTGGCGTCGAGGGGGTTAACGCGTGTCTCTTAATTGCTCCTTTCTTCCCCCCTGCAGTTTTCTGCACTTGGCCATTATTCACGAGGAAAAATCCCTGAGCCTGGAGATGATCCAGCAGGCAGCCGGTGACCGGGCTTTCCTGAACTTCCAGAACAACCTCAGCCAGGTACTTTCACCTCCATAGCCCCAAATCCGGATCAGCCCCTGCCACGCCCACACACTCCCTCTGGGGAATTCCCCAAAAAAAGTCCCTTTAATTTTTTTTTTTTTTTTTTTTTTTTTTTTTTTTTTTTTTTTATTGATGGAATCAATTGAATCAAAGCCTGCATTCAGGAAAGTCCCCAGCTGGCTCCAGCCAGTGTTGGTACAATGCTTCCTCTCCCCTGCGAGAGTGGCATTTAACACCCACATTTTTCAAATATGATGCCATGGGTTGCATCCCTCTTTATGGAGATGTTAATGATACCCTTCATACCGACTGTTGGTTTATCCGGAGAGCCCGAAGTTCATCACTTCCAGATGAATGGGCAGCAATACAATAACTTGGGACACATAAAGAACTGAGTTTATGGGGCGTGCTTTTATGCTTTTATTTGTTGGCACAAATCACCAAGTGAACAGAGGTCTGCTTGTCTAGATGTTGCTGCCAAGTTTGTGGTGTAACTTACACTCTGCTTTTGCTCTTATGCTTGCAGACTCCTCTTCACCTGGCAGTGATAACTGATCAGCCTGAAATTGCTGAGCATCTTCTGAAGGCTGGATGTGACCTGGAAATCAGGGACTTCCGAGGAAACACCCCCCTGCACATTGCCTGTCAGCAGGGCTCCCTCAGGAGCGTCAGCGTGCTCACACAGTACTGCCAGCCGCACCACCTCCTCACTGTCCTGCAGGCAGCCAACTACAACGGTATGGGCACTCTCCTGAACAGTTCATCTTGGTGTGCTGCACTGCTGAGCGTAGGATCAGTCTCCTGTGGATCTCAAAAGATCTCTGGAGAGGTGGAGAAGGATTATTATGCATTTGAGAGCAGAGGAGCCCAAAGCATACAGCAGTGTCTGACTTTTTTGAAATGACACTGTCTTGCAGGCCTTCTCACTGTTGTTTATAGTCTCTCATGGCTTTGAACTTTGCATTTTTAGTGAGCGCCCTGCTCCTCCTTTTTTTGTTTGTAATAAGTTGCACTCAAACACCAGAATAGTCTCCAAGAAATCTTTCCAAAATCCAACCCTTTTATTCATACTGGAAGCTCTTCTGGAGAACACCCTTTTGCCATTAATGAATTGCAAATTTAGATACCATCCTGGCCTGTCATCTTGACTTTTAAGTAATGATGAGGCACTGAGTTAGATTTACTCAGGATTTCCCTTTGTTTGTGTCTTTCAGGACATACATGTCTTCATTTAGCATCTATTCAAGGATACCTGGCTATTGTCGAGTACCTGCTGTCCTTGGGAGCAGATGTAAATGCACAGGTATGTAATGTGTACCATGAATTTAACTGAGTGGGGCTCTGTAGTCTTAAGAATCAACAGATATGACAATGGCTCTGCCTCTTCTAACATGCCAAACCTTATGCTGTTTTCACACAGGAGCCATGCAATGGCAGAACAGCACTGCATTTAGCAGTTGATCTGCAGAATTCAGACCTAGTCTCACTTTTGGTGAAACATGGGGCAGACGTGAACAAAGTGACCTACCAGGGCTATTCCCCCTATCAACTCACCTGGGGAAGAGACAACTCAAGCATACAGGAACAGCTGAAGCAGTTGACCACAGCTGACCTGCAGATGTTGCCAGAAAGTGAGGATGAAGAGAGCAGTGAATCGGAGCCTGAGTTCACAGAGGATGAAGTAAGTACCTGTTTCCATTTTTACAAGAGAAGGGGGACATCCTGTCCTGTACAGGGTATTTTTTGGTGTCACACTGATAGCATGCCCCAGTGGCTTCTTGCTGTGTAACTAATGGGTATACCAAAGATTATGCTATCAACAGTCAGCAAAATGGCAGATGGGGCAAGCATGCAAACAGAGCAAGAATAAAATGTGAAAAATAACGTGGGGGAAATGGAGGTTAACTTCATGCAGCATGATTCACTGAACACAGAACCTCATGAGAGAAAATTTCAAGTTAGTGGGTGGTTTTCTCCCCCCTAGGATTTGTTTTGCTAACATTCTAGTTCTGCATCAAAAGGCATATGTAACCATTTTGGTGTAGAAATTTTATACACTGCTGAAGTCTGGGCATGTAGAATTTGGCTGTTATCCCAGAGAGGATATGATACTTTAAGATTTTTGTATTAACAACATTTTGGCTTTTTCTTGCAGCTTATATATGATGACTGCCTTATTGGAGGACGACAGCTGTCATTTTAAAGCACAGCTTTCCCTGAAAAGATGTGACTGTATACGTATGTATAGAAAAAGGACTGACTTTCTTCATCTAAAAAGAAAGTCACAACGTGGAGAGAAAAAAGAGGAGGGAAATACTGAACTGCCCAGCAAGGAGAAGGAGCACATAATTGTAACAGGACAGTTCCAGGATCTCCCTTGTGTTTAAATACAGGAGTGGGATGTGTAACATCAGTACAGATCTGTGATTATTCACACCACCTGATAAAGAGCCACATAGCCAGTCTTCTCAGCCCTGCAAAGGTAACAGCACATCCAACCTGCCTGTTACAGAGAGCTTTCTTGTGGCATCAAGTACTACAGGGAGCAAGTGTCCTTTTGCGGCAAGGTGGACTGATGCCAACAGCCCTTCTAAGAGACTCTACGTTCATTTGTGCTGGGCTGGTGGCGGTTCCTGTCCTTTCTGACTGACCTCAGCTGCTCTCAGTGGGGTAGTATCCCATGTGGAGGAGTCAGACCAAGGGACTGGTGCCCTCTTGGCTCTTAGGCAAAAGTAGCAATAATGTTAACTGTGGGCATTGGAAAAGTGTGTTTCACACTGTGTGTGTCATAATTGCTACACTTTTTAGCAACTGTATATTGTGTAAATACTGTATATTTTTTGTTTATAATTATTTTGGTACATGTAAGATATGTATTTATTAAAAAAAGTCAGATTACCGTGCCTAGTCTGTGAAACTGTTCATTACCCACTTCCCTGAGATCGTGGGAATCTACCTGGTTTGCTTTTTAAGAAACTTTTAACACGTAGTAGCCCATTGGGGTCACATTTCCAGAGGTTTTAGGTGATTCACCTCAGCAGTGGTAAGACATCTAAGCAGTTTGCAGCTCTCAGCCTTTCTGCTGCAGCTAATTTTGGAAGCAGACGTAGGTGGTGTTTCCTGCACCCGCTGCAGCAGGCGGATTGTGGTGCTGGGATTCCCCCTCTTTTCCAGCACCGGGCTGCTAGCCCACTGGCAAGGGGATTTTAGGCTGGTTTTGGCAGCACCCACCCACCTGCCCTCATGGCACCTTTTGTTCCAGCTCAAACACTTTGCAACTCTTGCCAGGGGAGGCTGGAGGTTTGTAGCACAGCCCTGTGTCTGTTCACCTCTTGTTGATTGCCTGGCCCAGCTTCGGTTTGAACTCTGACCCCTTTGGAATTTCCAAAGGGGATTTCCACGGGAAGAGGGAACGCATCCTGGAAACACCTGCCGCTGCCTTGCCCTCCTGAAATTCAGATGGGGCACCCCCACATCCCCACTGCAACAGCTACAGCTTTTGTTCAGTTCATAGCAGTGAAGGATGTGGCTTTAACTGCTTCAGTTATTCCTCAAGTTTGTCTCCAGCATTCAGGCAGACAGAATCACTTTGCCCAAATTCTCTGCTCTACCTCATTACTTGCTGGCAGTGCATCACAATACCAGACTACTTTCAGTGACAGACTTTTTAGCCTGTTGTGTGTCCGTGTAAAAGATGGGTTGTGTAAAAGGTGACTGTGCCCTGTTTTTGTCCTACCCCCTGGATGGAAACAGAGCAGCAAATCTGCTGACGCAGGGTGATGGAGCTCTGCCAAGAGCTGGCCAGGGGAATTCTGTGCTGCTGGCACCTGGCCTAGCTCAGGCTGTTGGAGAATGCTGTGGCCCCAGGTTGCACAGGGACACCCATTCTTTTTTTCTGTCCTGCTCTTCCCAAAGGGTTCCTGATACACAACCTGCTCTAAGGAGGGTTTGCTGGTATGAGGAAGAACACCAAAGGTGGCTGTGTGCTTCCTAATTTGCATGGGAGCCAAAGGCCACTGTGGAAAGGACGGTATAAAATTGTTATCCTGAGTCACTTCTATTTCCCTTCCACTCTCATTGCCTGAGCATAACCCAGGTATATGCACTGAAGCTTCCTTCTGGCAGACATGGCTACATCTGCATTGCAAACCTGCATTTTCCAGGTGTGGGGATGGATAAGACTCTGCCAAAACTTTTTTCTTGTTGGGAACTCACCTTGCACTCTGACCAAACCACTAACTCTGAACTGAGAGTATTGACTGTGGGAGTTTGCTCACTCGCAGGTTTTTCACCAGCAAAGAATCCCAAGTGATTCCACACTGGAAATAGAAAGGGCAACGTTCCACTTGCTACATTTCGGTTTCCCTTTGCAAAATAGGAGTTGGAAATGCTGTCAAGGCCCTGCAGAGAGGCATTCACCAGCTGTAGTTATTAGTGGTCTAAAAGTCCTTGGTTCCCTACCACTTGGGTACATGGCTGGACCAGGTATGCAAATATTTAAATAGATACCATCAGAAGGCAAATACTTTTCATTTGAAGGCCAGAGGGATGGAGGAAAATGCAGTTATCAGTAGTACCAGGCTGGCTGAGTAGTTTTGGAGGCAGTGGTACATTCTCTGCTGCCCACTGCAATATCTAGACAAAGAGTATCTAGAAAGGCACCGCTATAATCTTACAAGAATTCTGCAATGACTTAATAAATTAAGCAAATGTTTTACTGTATGAGGAAGTTTTGCAGCTAAACAAATCATTGCCGAAATACCACATGCTGGTTTTGCTGCTGTTTGCCTCCGCCCATCATGCAAAAGTAACCATGTAACATATGCGGAGGAACCATGGGTAAAGCAGGTAGGACAGAGATTAATGTGAGAACGTGTTTGTTAGCAAAATAGGTTGGGACATGTTGTGTATTTGTGCATTGCTAATGCAGGATTACTCATTGGAGAACTTTGCCTGTTCACTTGATTATATGGGAAGATTGTCCACTGTAGGGCATCCCTCTGGCACCCCCAGTTTTGAATATGTGCCCTTAAACTGCTGCATGTCCACCCTGTCTCTGCCCTTGCCACACCTATGCCTTTAGAAAGATCTTCTGAGAGTGGTTTTGGTGATGAGCTGCCCTCATGCTGTCTTCTTGGCATTCTGGCAGATGTGTGGCATAGTCCCATTTGTAGGATATAGAGTAAGAACTCCTTACTCATTTATTCTTCCAGCATCTCTTTTTCCTTATTCAGACAGCACAGCTGCTATTTGCAGAGCACACTACTTTGTTCTTGCTTCTACTGCCAGTGCCTCCCCACACTGGTCCAGGGTTTAAAATTCTGTCCCAGCACCTTTTCCACATGCCCTGTGTGGCTCTGCAAGCTTCAAGAGCATCCCTGCCACTGCAGATTGACATCCCTTGAAGTTCAGATTTAGTTTCCTAACTGGTCCTCTCTCCATTAGCCTCCTCACTTTCCTCAGCCTGTGTCCTATGCTTTTATTGCCTTTGGCACTCATATCTGCCTTTGCCTGTTCCTTTTTCCCTTCCTCCCTTCCCGCATGCCCCCCCACCTTTTCACCTGCGACACCAGCTCATTCACTCGTCATTACATTACACAGCATGAGGTTACATTTTTTATTTTCCAGCTTTTCCCTGCTGCCCATTCTTGTAAATGTCTTTGATAATCCCACAGGGATATTCCCATACTTCCTTATATTCCACACAAAGAACAAAACTTCTCATTTCCTCCCACACCCTCTTCTTCCTCCTTGCATTCCTGCTCACTGTAGGCCTTTCTCACCCAAACTACAACCAAGATGCCTCCTTCAGTACCTTTCAGTTTTCTCAGCATCATCCCTGGACTTCTCAAGAACCTTAGGGTGGTGACAGATAAAATACAGACTGCCAGGGTGGCAATGCTGGACAGCAGAGCCCAAGGCCTGATTTTCCTCCTGGTAATTTAGAGCTCTTTTCTTCCATTCCCTGCAGCTTTGAAAAGTGTAAAAAGCAAGGGCAAAAGACAACCTTGCACCTAGGGACGTGCACAGGGAGGCTTTGTGTTCCTACTGGCTCCAGCACCAGCCTGATATCTGCAGTCAGGAGCAGACCCCTTTCTCCATCCTGCCCTCCTGCTTGTTCTGCCACTCTCGGGTTATGGTGCAGGCACGCTCCTTGTACACAGCTTGGGCTGCATGAGCTGGCTGACACACACTTGTGGGTGTCTCTACTCCCCAGACAGAGAGGGGTCTAACTTAGAGGCCTTAGCCTTACTGTCTTCTCCTCCTTCAGCCTTTTGACATTAGGAAGGGGTCCCTGTTGGCTGCTTAGCATTTTACACACTGACAACTACAGATCAAAGCAGGACCAACAGTGTTTATCAACCATGTGTCCAGCATGCAGCTGGTGGACACATCTATCTGCCTTCCTGGCAAGGACTTCATGCACCAGAAGGCAGCAAGGCCACCAGGACTCTTAACCTATCCCCAAGAGTGGCAGCCTCACTGCTGCGGACCTTGCCCCACAGCTTCAGTTCAGATTTGGATAAGCAAGATGGTTGAGTGAGTAAAGGAAAGGGTGAAAGCAGAAAAAATTCCCAAGGAAAGACACTGTGATCTCCAGGGGGAGGACAAGTATCGTTTGTTATTTGTTATAATGGGAAATCTTCAATGATGGTGGACTCTGGGCCAGGCACATCTCATTTTTTTGTGGAAGCTGAGCTCTGAAAATAATTAAGCATCTGGTTGTTCCTAGAAGTAAGAATTGCAAAACAGAGTGCAGGGGTGGCAGGGAAGAATCTCTCATTGGACAAATGGCTACCCTCATTCCAGGGGGTGGAGGAAGGGCTTTTTCCAGCATTGCTGTGCTCCTAGCACCGGTGCCTGGCTGAAGAGTGAGAACTGCACAGTATCCCGAGGGATGAGGGAACAGGAAAATCCTGTCCCCTCCTACCAGCCAGGACAGCACACGTGTCCTGGACAGCTGCTGCACAGCCTCTCCCCTTCTCCAGCAGCTGTCTGTCACAGCTCTGGCATCTCTCGCCTCCTTGTCCTTTCTCTGAAGCTTTAACAGGAACAAAAGGTTTCCTTTAAATGCCAGCACATTTATCAGGTCTTAATGCAAGAAGTTTATGTCCAGAGAGACTGAAACAGAAACTCCCCCTGATACCCTGGAGGTTTGACTGCCTTCCCATGCCATGATCCAGTGCTCAGATTTTCCCAGGACTGCCTCCTCATCCAATTTTCCAAACAGGACTTTCCAGTCCTGTCAGAAGAGAGCTGGGATTTTCCCCGCTCACTCCTTTCTGCAGTTTTACCCTGTTCCAGCGGCCATGAACCACGGCACCAGGCTCCATTGCCTCTCCAGCTGCAGGAGTGCAGCCTCCTACCTGTTCACCACCAGCCCCAGGGGCTTCCTTGCTCTGGAGGAACAAGCCTCCACCCCTTTAATTTAAATTATTTTCCCATTCACAGTTTTAGATAGTTCAGATTAATTTTCCTGTGCATCTTTCAAGGTAAGATTTTCATCTCTCCAGCTGAAAGCACAATGTGGACACATGTACGGTTCAAGAAAGAGCCTTAAAACACAAATATTTTTAACATGCATGCACGCCTTGAAGGGCACACAGCTAAAATTACAGTGCAACATTTAACTTGGTTAATTATTATTCCTGGATTTCAGTAGCTTGAAGGAGAGGGAGTTTCCCGAGGCCCTGAAAAGGACTCTGAGTGCTGCTGCTGTGCTTCAGCAAGACTTTGTTCTCCCCGGGGAGTGCGCAGGGGTCGGGTGAGAGGCAGCCCCACCGAGGAGCTCGGAGCAGTGGGAAAAGAGAACCGGGCTGTGGTGTTTGCTCCTGCAGCGTGGGAGGACCCGTGGGCTGCTCTTCCTCTCTGCATCAGAAAAGAACACACCACGTCTCAG